AAAAAAGTCAAACAAATGAGAAATTCGATTTTCGGTGTTAAAAAGTTCGTGTTGGTATAAAATAAGTAATCCTGTTTTATGAATTGATAAAAAGTCCCTTTGTGCGTGTGTCTTGTCACCCCATTGTCGTCGAAAATTCCCATGCACCCTGTGCCACCCTGCCCCCTCTCGCGCGCCCCACTCTAGCCCCCCAGTCGTATAAAGCAAAATCTCCGGTCCCTCTCCATCATTCCTCTGCTACTCTCAGTGGTACCAAGTCGTGCAGTGTTGTAAAATGGCCCCAACCCCATACATGGACGAACCCATCTCCCGGACCTACCAGTACCGGAAGGTCATGAAGCCGATGTTGGAGCGGAAACGTCGCGCCCGCATCAACCGGTGTCTAGACGAACTCAAGGAGTTGATGGTGACAGCCCTCCAGAGCGAAGGCGAGAACGTCTCCAAGTTGGAAAAAGCCGATATTTTGGAATTGACAGTGCGCCACCTCCATGGCTTGAAGCGCCAACACCAGCTGGTGATCCCCCCAGAAGGATACGCCGACCGATTCCGCGCCGGTTTCACGCAATGTGCGCAGGAAGTGTCGCAGTTTTTGACCACGCCGTCCGAAACGGTGGACGCCGTCGCCGGGAGGAAGCTCCTCCAGCACCTGGGGGCCTGCGTCAGACAGTTGGAGTGCGCGCAAGTGTATACGCCGCCGGCGTCGCCGCAAGTGAAGGCCTCCATGTGGAGGCCGTGGTGATGATTCACAGTTGGACTTCAATGACTTTAGCTTTAATACTGTGATAGTAGGGTAGATTTTTAGGGCGAAAAAGGTAGATTCGTACCTGAGTGTGATATTTGACTAATTTGTATTTCCTCACAAATGCAATCTTTATAATTAATTAAAATAAATCATTTTTAAATAAGTAATTTTTTGTTTATTTACCGGATAATAAGGTATTTCCCAAGCACACTACGATTCAAAATCGGATATTATGTAGTTGGCGACATCTAGCCAGCGCGGGATCAGGTTTCAAGTTGGTATCTTTATTCTTAGATGGCGCAAGATCTACAATATTTTTTTCGTTTTGACTCGATTAAAAAATAATAAAATTAAAAAAAATGTAAATTAATTTTTGAATAACTTTTTTTCTTTGATCCAAATTTTAAGTAAATCTGTTAATATTTAAGAAAAAAAAACGGCAAGCTCTGTAGAATTTTTATTTATGGCCCGATTTTAAAAATTAAATGGCTTTTAATATCGTATAAGCTGACCATTTTAGAATTTTTTAATGTCATAACAGGGTGTTACAAAAAGAGTGTAGAATATTTACCGAGGTAATAATATGAACCAAAATAAGCAGAAAAGTTTTAACAATCATGGGTCCGGAACGTAAGGGTTTCGGAGATATGGAAGATTATTTCCGTTTTTTGTTTATATTTTGCAATTTTTGCAAATTTAAAAAGGAGGTAAAAAAACACATGTTTATTAAGACTTTTTTGTTTATTTTGGTCTACCTATACTATTACCTCCTTAAATATTTTAAACTCTTTATAAACACCCTGTATTTTGTGCATATCCAACTTTATAATTATTAAAATTAAATCCCATATTCTTTTTTAATAATGTGGAAAGTATTAGTTTTCTTGATACAAACATCATGTGTAATATGTTTCATTTCTACTAAAAATTGTTGTTTAAAAAAATTTTCAAAGTTGGAAAAAAATAATAAGAGTTACCTAATAAAATCTAGTTGCCTGGTGTCAAGTAAGGCAATGTCATTATTGTAATGTCAAAAAGCATCAAATGGAAAAAAATATTTCAACCATCTTTGAAAATTTTTAATAAGTTTTTATTTAATAAGAAAAACATTATTTTTAGTGTAATTAATTTATTTCAGGAGTTTCTCTTATTTATTTATTTTGCTTACTTTTAATAAGATTATTGTTAACGTAATTTTTTTATTTACACCATGCAACTAGATTTTATTAACTGTTATTATTTTTTTTTCAACTTTGATAACTGACTTTTTTTTATATGATAGAAAAATCGACCAAAATCTCAACAAAAATCAAAAAAGTTTTCAACCTTAAAATTCTTCCTTATAACGTTTTTTTACATTTCTAGAGTTCTTATAGTCTCAAATAAGTGCATAAAATGTTATTGGGTCAACTTTCAAAAATTTTGAATTTTTTGAGTTTTTCAAGGTGAGCCGGTAGTAAAATCGTAAAAATAGTCAATTTACCTTAAGTCGTAAAAACGCTTGAAATATGGTTTTCTAGACGTAAAATTACTCGCTGAACACGATTCAACTAGTTAGAATACTCTACGATGCATAGTTTTTGAGATATTGAGTAATAAAGTTAAGACTAAGGCTAAAAGGTATAAGCACTATATCAGATTTTGACCAAAAATCAAAATTTTTTGATTCTTATGAAAAACTAGTACTACATTAAAATTAACCGGAGAACACGCCTGCACGAACCCTGTTGACCTAAGACTCATAGTTTTTGAGATATGAATTTTTTTTTTGAAAAAACTAAAAATGGCTCTGTACCCGGAACTATAACCCGGAGCGACTTCCGGTTTGCGCCAGTAATTAGATAATTTTAAGCTAATTTTAATGGTTTTTACCCCTTTGCTCTAAATTCTATAGTTTCGTAGAAAAACGCGTTTAAAGTTTCACAATTTTGAATATTTTCACTTTTTGAACGGCGATTACGGCCAAACTATTAGACTTAGAGCAATAAGTCCAACTTCATCGTTATCAGCATAAGAAAATCTATCGACTGAGGCCAAAGCCAAGTCGATATCTCGCAAAAAAAATTTGAATTTTTAAACGCCGATTACGGCGAAACTAAAGGAGATAGCGCAAAATAATTGGGAAATTCGTAATTAGCGCCTCAAAATCTATCGGATAAGATAGGTTTAAATTGAATCTAAGACATGTTCAAAAACACTAGTTTTTTTTAGTGTTAACAAATTTTTACTTTTTTTTATTTTGTAAATTGCGGCAAAACTGTGTCTCAATGGTATAATATTTTGACCTAAACCTATGTAAAATGTTCCGGGGAATCGATTGGTGTTAAAAAAACTGCAAAATTCCTAATAGTTTTGAAGTTATAGTCGGATTTATATTTTCCATACTTTTGAATTTATCAGAAATTTTCTCGATAACTATTCATCGTAGAGCACTGAACTTTTTAATATATGATAGAAAATTCAATTTTCTATCCAACGGTACCAAATATAAGAGGTTATCTCTAATAAGTCCGGAGTTATTGCCATTAGACCGCTCCGGGTACCAAAAATCGACCAAAATCTCGACAAAAATCAAAAAAAAAAATTAACTTTAAAATTGATCCATTTAACGTTTTTTACATTTCTAGAGGTCTTATAGACTCAAATAAGGGCATAAAATCTTATTGGGTCAACTTTCAAAAATTTTGAATTTTTAACTTAAGTCGCATTACGATAAATCAAATAGATCAGCGGGTCATTTTAGAGAAACCCCTCAATTCTTTTTTTTTTTCCACTTTTTACGATCGAGCTTTGGGACCCCTATAATTTTATTTAGAATCAAAATTAAGACTTATTGGTAGTTTTTGGTCGGGCCAAAATTTCGTAAATTTCGCAATTTTTAGAACTTTGAAAGTTGTTTTAAGCCTAAAATATTAATTGACAAGATTAAGAAAAATCACGAGAATCGAATGGTGAACAATCAACCTCAAAAAAAAATTCTTCTGATATAAATTAATTGAATATCTCGGTTTTTAGTCCACCAAAAAATCTCAAATTGTGGAATTTTATTCTTCATTCAGAACCCTACTATATGACATAAAACAAGTTGCATGTATACAAAATACTTTAGGGGTGGGTTTTTCAAACCAAAAATAAACCTATCGTGTCACCCCTCATACATCTTAGATAAAAGCATAGATTTTAAAAATATAAAATGAAGTAGGTATTTTGTTTTTCCTAAGCGAGATACGAAAATGACCATCGTCAAAATCAAATTTGACTTGACTACTCGATAGAACCTTTCATTGCACATATTTTTTGAGATACTTCATTTTTACGTGCGACGCATACTTTTCAAGATAATCACGTTGAAATTTTCCAGATTTGAATTTCCGCGCTTCATTGCAATTTGTTAAGGTTGGTAATAGTCAGCATACATACCCACATGCGTGTATTTGTGGTTGCATCAGTTTTGGAAGTTATAACAAATGGGTCAATCCCACTTGGACAAATTTATCTAGAACGCAATTAAAAAGCGCAGTTTACATATTAATTCTAATTTGCATCGTTTAAAGTAATGTTGGGGGCGCTCTTGGTGGAAAAATATCATATTTGGTGTGATTTAATTAATTATGTCAAATGGGAGTTCGCGCTATTGCCACTTATAACAATTCGCATTCTCCCTAATAATGGTCTTGGCAATTCCGACCTAACCTCATTTGTAATTAGTGCTCATTTTGTCATTTCTATTTTGGTGTAAAATGGACGAAAAATCATTTTCGGGTGTTGAACTGAGCCCCTGGCTGGTCCGGCAGTGTGCCACTATAGGTAGCCCCCCTTTTTTCCTTCCGAGTGAGTTTTTTCGCACTATTACTTTGCAGGTGTGCGGAGCCCTACCGCCATCCAGGCGCACTGCATCCCCCAAATCCTCGCCGGACGCGACTGCATCGGGGCTGCCAAAACCGGCAGTGGCAAAACCCTAGCATTCGCCTTGCCCATCCTCCAGAAACTCTCTGAAGACCCTTACGGAATCTTCGCTCTTGTTTTGACCCCCACGCGGGAACTGGCGTTTCAAATCGCCGACCAGTTTGCGGTAATTGGTAAAGTGGTGAATTTGCGTCATTGTGTCGTAGTTGGGGGCATGGATATGGTGGCGCAGGGCAAGGAGTTGGCCCGGAAGCCCCACATTGTGGTGGCTACGCCCGGCCGTCTAGCCGACCATTTGGAAAGTTGCAACACGTTTAATTTCACTAAACTGAGATTTTTGGTGCTTGATGAGGCTGATAGACTATTAGGGGGGTCTTTTGATGAACAAATTAAGACAATTTTTCAAAATTTGCCCAAAAAACGTCAAAATTTATTTTTTTCGGCCACGATTACCGATACTTTGGAGAAACTCAAGTGTGTAACTGGGAGTGAAGTGTTTTTTTATGAAGCCCCCACAGAGGTGGCCACTGTGGAACAATTGGAACAAAATTACGTTTTGTGTCCCAAAGATGTGAAAGACGCGTATTTAGTGGAGACAATTAGGACTTATCGGGGGCAAAATAAGGGGGGAAATATTTTGATTTTCACAAACACTTGCAAGTAAAATTAACATTTGTTAGTTTTTCCTCGATTAATTATCTTTTTCTAGGAATTGCCAAGTGTTATCAATGACCTTGAATGAAGTCGGGTTTGAAAATGTCGCTCTTCATGCGATGATGAAACAGCAACAGAGATTAGCCGCCTTGGCGAAATTTAAATCAAACACAATTAAAATTCTCTTAGCTACTGATGTTGCAAGTCGAGGTCTTGACATTCCCACTGTTGAATTAGTAATAAATCATAATATCCCCAAAATACCCAAAGAATACATTCACAGGGTTGGTAGAACTGCAAGAGCGGGGAGGAACGGGCGAGCAATCAGTCTGGTAACCCCCTATGATATCAAATTGTTGCAAACCATAGAACAACACATTAATACTAAATTAACCGAATTTAAATTGGATGGTAATTTTTTTAATTTTTTTTTGTGTTTGTTAAGTTGTGGGTTGTAGATAGCGAAGTTGGTAAAATTTTCACTCAAATTTCTGTGACTAAAAGTGAGGCCTATATAAAACTCGACGAGCAAGATTTCTATGAACGAAAAATGATAAATAAAAGGAAGAAATGGATGATGGAAGGGTTAGATCCGGACGAGGAAGAGGAGAAATTTTTGAAGACAATCAAGAGAAGTAAAAAGACGAAAAAGAATAAGAAACAAAAGGACCAATGAAACTAGATTAATTAATTTTGTTTTTGTAAATTTAAATAAACCAATTTAAATTAGAATTAGAAAATTCGTAAAAATGGTCAATTTTTTTTCGCTCTGAGATTTTTAAAAACCTTGAAATTGAGACGCTGTCAAAGCTGTCAAATGTTAGTTTCTTTTATTTTATGCCCAAGTCACTTTTGCAGGCTGTCCTTTTGACATAATTATCAGCGCCATCATGTGTTGAATTTTCGTAAATAGCCACGTCACTCGAGTTGTTTGTCGTGTGTATTCCCATAAAATTAGTTAAAATATGAACATTTTTCGTTTAACGGGAGATTTGGCCCATCTCCTAGCCATAATAATTCTTCTGTTGAAAATATGGAAGACGAGGTCGTGTGCAGGTGATTATTTGTAGGAGCCATCGACGCCGGCGTTTCGCCTATTTATTTTAGGGGCTCCACATCATTAACTGACATTTTTAGGTATTTCCGGCAAGAGCCAAATCCTCTTTGCAATAGTATACACCACAAGATACTTGGACTTGGTGACGACTTATGTGTCAGCTTACAACACCCTCATGAAGATTTTCTTCCTCGCATCATCGTTTGCCACTGTTTACTTAATTTATGTCAAGTTTAAGGCCACTTATGATCACAACCATGACACTTTTCGAATCGAATTTCTCATTCTGCCAGCTGTTATTTTGGCCCTTTTGATAAATCACGCATTTACGCCTCTTGAAGTAACAACAAATCTTACAATTATTTTAAGTTATTTGTTTTGTTCTAGATCTTATGGACTTTTAGTATTTATTTAGAATCTGTGGCTATTTTGCCACAACTATTCATGGTCAGTAAGACTGGTGAAGCTGAAAGTATTACTTCCCATTATTTGTTTGCGTTGGGATCCTATCGGGGGCTCTACATTTTGAATTGGATCTATCGTTATGCAATGGAAAGCCATTACGATTTAATTGCTATAGTTGCAGGAATCGTACAGACGGTTCTTTATTGTGACTTTTTCTATCTCTATATCACTAAAGGTGAGTTAATCTATTTTAATTCAAAAGAGAAAATGTGGTATTTTTTTTTAGTTCTTAAAGGCAAAAAGTTGCAATTGCCAGCTTAGAGGGTTTTTTTTGTACAAACGAGTCGTTGTGTAATTTTTCCTTGAAATAAATATTGTTTTAAGTGAGTTTTTCAAGTTGGTTTTACTTTTTCTACGTGTTGATGGCATTAAACTAGGAATTCATCATTCTGTGATTTTTTTTATAAATTGCTTGTTTAAAAAGTAAAAGATGGAACTGCTTTCATATGAAAAAGTCATATTATATGTGACTTTTATTCTCATCAGGAAACATGCTGTGTACATAGTTACTAGACTTCCTAGTTTTGATAATTGTTACACCGTATTTTGATTTTTGCTTCCGACAAAAATGTAATTTTATGTAATAAATTTATTTCGATTTTTGTGTTGTTTTATACCATACCTAATTCTTATATACGTATGCTTTTTCACCAAAAGCAACAGTTACACTATACAGATTGATCTTTTCGTAGTATTTTTTGAAAATTTTATTACATTTATAACCCTTTAAAAGAAAATTTTAATTGTTTCTTATATTATTATTTCTTTTTTCCAATTTGCGTTTATTAACGTCTCCAGTAAGAGTCGTTTATGGCTATCTATAAAAACCACACTGTACTTTAATGAATTTAGGGTTATTTAGTTTTTGCATGCCGCTTCTGACTTGTCAGGTAACAAATTTTGCGTTGTTGATTCGGCAATTTCGGACGGAGTGCAAACTAAATTCTGTTGGTTCATATTTTATTTATTATTATTATGTTGTAACAATAATAACTAATAATTTGTAAATTTTATTTTTAATGACAGACGGCAGAAATGACTCAAAAAAACCGATACCAACTAACACAAAATTCTCTAGGCGACAAAAATATATTTTTTTTAATTAAAATAAAAAAAAGGGGGCGCAAATTAGAAAAAATTGCATAAAATACTCGTTTTATCATGGCATTGGCGCACTCATCCCATAGAAAACTCGCCTATGGCTCGTTTTACGAAAATTATGATTTTAAAAATAGAAATTATCTTGTTCCTATTATCAAAGTTATCCGTGTGTAAAGAAGTTTTGACAACTTTTTGGCACTTCTCAATACGAAACGGCAGATTATTTTTAACACATTTAAGCCTTGTTGAGCCTAATTCGAAGACTAAAATGTTGTATTAAACTTGTTTGGGTGTAAATCGGACGCTTAATTCCACCTCGTGGAATAAACACGCAAAAGGTGTTGCTAACAAGAAAAGTCCCACTTTTCTCAGTTATTTTGGGTTAAACAATGTTATCAGTTTCTATTAAGTACACGAATAAATTAGTTTTTAAGTTTAAAAATGTTGCCAACCTGACTAAAATAAAATACCCCGTCCTTTCTGACATAACCTCATTTGTTGCAAAAATTCTGTGATCAAAAAGTGGTGTTTTCGATCGTTTAGAAAATGTCCCATCAGCAGGAAAAACCGCTAAAAATCTCAAAACAATTACGTTTAAAAGCTCATGAATTCCTCTCGTCTCGCAAAAATCCCGAAAATTTGTTAACAATCGTACGTCATTTCGAATCGGGTGCGGACCTGTCATCATGTTTACTCACTTTGGAATTGATATTTACGAATTTATTAAAAGACAGGGACATGTACGTAGAAGTTATTCCATTAAAACCCATAGAAAAAAATGAGACGAATCAATACAAGGAATGGTTGAGGAACTTGTACGAAAATTGCTTTAATAAAATACTTGAAACGTTTGAGAATGATTCGAATAAGATTCAAATTCAGGGTAAGTAAATGTTGGGTTTTTGGGAGTGTTGGGTGTTGACTGGGTGTTTTTAAGGTTTGTCCACTGCCATGAATATTCTCTCATGTGAAGGCAAATTTCCCTTGGAAAATAAAGGGAATTTGGAGTGTTATGTACCATTGAATAGGCTAAAGCCCATTTTAATGAAACTACTTTCAAACAAGCACAATAACATTCATCTTATAAATAAGTACACCGAATATCTTCTTTATAGCGACATTTTATTCTTTTCCTGGAAACTCCTACCGCCACTGACTGCAAAAACCAATCCAAATGAAACCTACATAATGAATTATTTGCGCCTCCTTGAAAAACTCGAATTGAAAAAAACCGACGAACAAACCTTGTGCGGAACTGAAACCGGTAAATAAATCGCTTCAAAATGTCACCATTTTTTAAAAAACCCATATTTTTCCAGCATTTGACGAGAATGTGCCCCTTCGAGCGTTGAATAAAGTGTGGCATTGCGTCATGTTGTGGGACCACAGTCCTCAGACTCACAAACAACTCTTGATTGTGCTTCTCGAACGCGTCCTTCCCCACCTGGAAAAACCCCTTTTCTTAACGGACTTCCTCATGGATTCGCTCGACGTGGGAGGCCCCATCAGTTTACTCGCTCTTCAAGGAATCTTTACCATGATCCAAGTTTACAATTTAAACTATCCCAATATTTTCGCCAAATTGTACTCGATGTTTGAACCGGAGATTTTTCACACCAAGTATAAGGCGCGCCTTTTCTACTTATCCGATTTGTTTCTCAGCTCGACTCATCTGCCTGAGAATCTGGTCGCAGCTTTCGCCAAACGATTGGCGCGTTTGGCCCTCATTGCGCCGTCCGAGGACGTCGTCGTCATTTGCATGTTTATAGGGAATTTGATTTTGAGGTGGTTTCTCATTGTTTTTATTTGAATTATGTATTCATTAAAGTGTCCATTTTAGACATCCGGGTCTTAAATGTTTGTTAAATAATCCGACGGAAGGAAACGTAATCAGCGCAGATGATCCCTACATAATGGAAGAGCGAGATCCGATTAAATCGAACGCAATCAACAGTTCTTTATGGGAATTGAAGAGTCTTCAACAGCATTCGATACCGAGTGTTGCCACCGCCGCCAAATTCATCAATTCGCCTTTGCCCACGATCGAATGGGACCTAAGTCGGATCTTGGATGAAACTGGAGACGATATTTTCGATAAAGAGGTCAAAAAACACGGAAAACTAATCGCATTGGCTTTTGACAAGTCACATGATCAGATTTTACATTATTGGAACTTTTAATAATAATTCGTTACAAGACTGGGAGATAATGGCCGCAAATTATAGATTTTCAATGATTATGTATTGTAGATATTTCATTGTGATATGGAACGGACTATTTCCAAAAAGGGCGTGCCTTGAAGGCCATTATTTGCGTCAGGACATATCTAAAATGTGTTCCAAATTGCCGCCGTTAAATCACTTGTTGCTATGTAACACGAAAATATTTTACTTCTTACCTAGCAAAAATAACACCCATATCGGCAATTTGAGACAAATTCTACAGGTGTCTCAAAATTCGCGCACTTCCTCGAAAAGGAGTAATTGGGTAGTCCTCCAGAGTACTGAAAAAATGCCCTCTGTCAAAAAATTTTGACGTATGACATATTTTTATGTCTATTTATTGATATGGATAATCCTGTATGTTTTTTTTATAATTATTTAATAAAAGTACAAAAATTTTCCCAATAAAAGCCACAAATAACACTAAACAGAGTTACAATTTAAGATACAGCTTTCTTAATAGCCTGTAACAAACAAAACTTGGAAAATTATTTTTCCAACAGAAATAAATAGTGTCAAAATGCAAAATTTAAACTCTTAATATTTTTTCAGTACTCTGGGGGGCTACTCAATTACTCCTTTTCATGGAGTGGGTGAATTTTGAGATACTCTGTATTATGGAGTAACTTTTTTTTTCCATCATTCATTTCAGCTTACAACCTCAATGTATTTTTGTTGTCTTTCAATTGATTAAAAAAAAACCTATTCATATTTGAAAGGTGGTCTTTTAATGCCTATGGTAATGTTAAAAACAAAAAAAAAAACATCGCAGTGTTATTTTTATCTATGTATGTATTAATTACTTATTTAGGATAGTATTTCTTAATGTGTATTGTTATTTCTAATTTTTGATGTTGAATAAAATGTTGCTTTTTCACTTTGTCTCTTATTCTTTGGCAAGTATTTATTGAATTATGATTTGTGATCGTTTTAAAATAACTTTTTTCAATTTTGTGTCTGAAAGAAAGCTTATTTCGTTTTCTAATGAGTCTTTTCAACACCAAATCGGGTGCTGAAATAAACTAGTGCCTACAATTTACTTTCTAAAAGTTGGTAATGGGGATTTTCAGCGGCGTTTTGAGCGACTTCTCTTTTGTCAGGTGATGATGTGCATGAAATATATTGTTAATTCAACAAAATTTTGAAAAATACTTGAGAACTGACACTTTGAAAATCGAACTTTCAAACTTTATGACATTTATTACCAACCACAACATTATTAGAGCAAAAGCACCTAAATTTTTAAAAATTGACTTTTAAAGTCATAGTGGCCACTTCACTGTGTAAATTTTTAAAAATTGAGTTGTGTAAATCCGACTTCAAACATCCAATTGTTTTTAAGGACATATCTATCAAAAATGACAATTCAGAAAAAGTGAACTCGTTCCACAAATTTTGCCTTACGAAACGCGTTTTTTAATACTAATAATATACTTTTAGAACTTTCCAAGGTTCAAAAACCTCTATAAAAAAGGGAACCACTTGGACAGTTGCTAAAACTGCAGAAATCAAGTTGTAATTGTTTTCACTTATGTAACAATTGAAAATATTCATTGTACAGTTGCGGAATTAAAATTTCGGCAGTATTATCATTTTCATAATGTAAACTCTAAAACAACCTTTACATTAATAACCTCATTTTTTACTCTTGTCATATTTATGTCATTTTAAATATCAGTCATAATGACAGTAAAAGGTAGTTTACAGTGAATTTTTTAAAGTAACAGAAAAATACTGTCCGAAATTTTAATTCCGTAACTGTACATACAATTAATCCCAATGCAAAAAGGTAAAATAAAAAACTAAGTGATTTACTTTTTAAAAATGGTAAAAAATTATTAATGAATGACAATTTCAAATTAATGACAGCTATTATATCTTTCTATCAAAAATATGTACAACTTGTCAACTATGATTGACAGTAGCTAAAAATAAGGTTAACAGTCCTAAAGCAAACTTTACAATTTAATGTCACTCAAGTGACATTGACGACCAAAGTATTTTGTCTCCAACTGTACTAACCTCATTTTTTACTCTTGTCATGCTTATGTTATTTTGACTCATTTACTTTCAAAAATTGTGATTTGTGGCATAATAACGGGTAGGCAGCAGATCAAAACGATGATTTGATTACACTTACCTAGTTCAATTAATAAATTTCTTAAGACAGACAAATTGTTTAATTAACAATTTTAACAAAAAAAAATAAATTTAATTGTCAATGTCAGTCGTGATGACAGTAAAAAGCAGTTTACAGTGGGAGACAAAATACTTTGGTCGTCAATGTCACTTGAGTGACATTAAATTGTAAAGCATGCTTTAGGACTGTTAACCTTATTTTTAGCTACTGTCAATCATAGTTGACAAGTTGTACATATTTTTGATAGAAAAATATAATAGATGTCATTAATTTGAAATTGACATTCATTTTAACGTTAAAGCTTGAATTACATTAAAGTGTCAGAAAAGTGACGACCAAAGTATTTTGTCTCCAACTGTACAAATGCTGCCCGAAATTTTAATTCCGCAACTGTATTTAGTACTTAAAGTAAAGATCAACATAAATGACTGATTTTTTTAATAAAATATTCCCAACACTTGATTCTTACATAAATTCAATTATTCAATAACAAAAAAAATCACAATCTTTCCTGCAACAGATCCCATGCTTTCTTGACCTGTTTCCCTGTAAATTCCACGTCCCATAAGGGACACAACACGACATTGGCCTCCTCGACATACGCTTTATTACTCGGTTGACTGTCAATCCGTGCAATCGCCTGTTCTTCTGTCAATTTATTCCTTGCAATTAGCCGTTTGACAGCCTCATCACGAGGCACCAAAGTACACCAAATTTCGTGACAAAATCTTTGCCAACCCGCCGTTAAAAGAACAGCAGCTTCTACAACCACAACCCGATTTTTGCTGTTTTTGATCATTTTTTGAACCTCATCGGCGATTGCTGGCCACACTAAACCGTTCAATTTCCTCAAAGCCTCCTGAAAACAATCGTTAAACGACCGCGATAACTTCTCAGGGGGGAAATACCGAATCGGAAAAAACAATAGACCCTAAAACCTTTCGGTCGATTTCGCCTTCAGACGTCAATACCGAATCACCGAAACAATTGACGATTTTCTCATGACATGGTCTACCAGATTTGTACGCATCATGACCAATTAAATCGCAGTTGATTATTTCAGCTTCGTGGTGTTTCAACCAATTGGCAACACCGGATTTACCACTGGCAACACCGCCTGTCAATCCGATAACGTAAGGCCGATTTGGAATATTTTTTTTGATTACAGGTCGTAGAAGAGTGCCCAAAAGGCGGATACGACAAGTACTAGAACTTATCTTCAATTCTTCGTGTGAATTCGGATAAGGTTCGTCGATTAATTTCACAGAATGAACATCAAGTGTTTTCATTTGTTTTTTTAAACGTACTAGAAAAAAAAAACAAAATTTTTTGAAAATTATCTCAATTATTCGTACTTTCGTTGATTTTTTGGCCGCCTTTTACAGTTTCTTCACTAACGACAATCATTTCCATCGTCGGATCCGTGATTGAAGGACCAAAAGGATCCGAAATTGGCACCACGTGATACTCTAACTCGGCGCAAATGTCTGTTAAGAAATTCTCGACGTTTTGGATTCGTACGTTTAGATTTTCAATGAGTTCCCATAGTATTTTACCTAATGAAAAAAAAAGGGGGATTTTTTTTAAGATTGCAATGCTACCAACCAGGAAACATGGATTCTTCAGTAACTCCCACAGTTACTTTAAATCTGCTCCTTAATACTGCTTCAGTCAAAAGCAACTTGTGGGCTGTGTGAAGTCTATCAAAGGTGCCCCCGACAACAGTGTGATTATAAATCTTGTTATCATCATCACAACTGAAATTTTCCAAATTTCCGGAATCTAAAGTCACAACATTATATTCGGAGGCAATGTTAGCAACTTTCGTTTTAATAAAATTATCAATGTCAGTTTTACTGTGAATTCTATCAAAAATTATTAAATCTATATTGGATTTGGTTTGGATTTGTTTCACTGTTTGATATTTCAAACCAGACAAAAGGACACGAACGTCGAGGTTTTGGCAATGTGTAGCAGCCTAAAAACAGAATTTTAACTTTGTTATCACAGTTTTTCAGTCAATTACCTGGGAATAAATTCCATAAAGTGTCTTACTATACTTTGGCCATGAAGTAAACACGTTTGTGTAAAAATTACCAAAAGGTTCAGTCAAAGCCGACAGTAATTGAATGTAGAGTGTATTTTGTACACGTTTTTGAATCGAAGGCAAAATTTTACCGATTTGTGTTGGATTTGAAACAATTAAAAGACCAGTTTTCGCCAACATTTTCACGATGCATCAACCTTGAATGAAGTGGAAAAACTAACTTGCGTCAGATTTTACGCCTTTTATCTTTTGGTTTACTATTATCAAATTTGAGGTTACGTAATTGTCAGTTGAGATAGAATTTGAGTATTTTTAATTTTTTTTCGACATCATAAAGTAACACAACTTATATGTCTCACATGAAATTGGATTAATTTATTATATTTTTTATTATTTATTTCATTTTAGCAACAAAAACAAAAAATATTTGAACGCACTCCTTGTGACATTTGTCAAATGTCACACTGTCAAAATAATGACTTTGTTTTGATAATTTTCTAACACAAAAAAATGTGTCGAATATAATTTTTTAGAGGCTGTCATTAAATAAATGACGTCTTGTGACCCTCTTGTTGAAACCGAACAAAAAGCCTCAAATGTGGGAGACATAAAAAGTTGTCTTTCGTGTCACCTAAGTGTCCCATTTGAGTGCTTCAAACCCATACCTGATTACAAGTGCGCTAAATGCAAATATCAAACAGATTTAATCATCGAATTGAAGAAACATCAGTGCTACAAACCACCACCCAACAAATCTCAAGTTTATTACTGCACAAAATGTACTTTTAAAACGTATTCACTCGTTGTTTTGACACGACATGACAGCGAGTGTGTGGTTAATTTATCAAACATAAACATTTCAAATACAAACTACGAGACATTTTTCAGTTGTCGACAATTCCTCTTTCTGGTAGTGCGGGACATGAGCATCGAGTGGCTCAAATGCCAACACTGCAACTATATGAGACAGATTCATGGCAATTTAAAGCATCATTTAGCTGCTATTCATCCAGATAAAAATGTCAAATGGCTCAATTGCGAATCGTGTCTTTTCAATGTAGAACAGGTGTTTCTATTGAAACAACACATTTTAGAAGAACACGCAGAAGAAAATATTGCCACCTGTTAAGTTTATTAGAAATACATGTTTTTGTTTAATCCGTTGTTGAGTTTTTCTCAAAATTCCTATATACAGTTACGGAATTAAAATTTCGGGCAGTATTGTCATTTTCATAATGTAAACTCTAAAGCAACCTTTACATTAATAACCTAATTTTAAAACTATTGTCATTTTTGATTTAAAAATAGCATCACTGACAGAAAAGATTAATTGTCAAATGTCAGTCATGATGACAGTAAAGGGTAGTTTACAGTGAACTTTTTAAGGTGACAGAAAAATACTGCCCGAAATTTTAATTCCGCAACTGTACAGTATTTTTCTGTCACTTTTAAAAGTTCACTGCAAACTACCCTTTACTGTCATCATGACTGACATTTGACAATTAAACTTTTTTTTTTGTTAAAATTTTATTTAAACAATTTGTCTGTCTTAGGAAATTTATTACATGAAATAAGTGTAATTAAATCATCGCTTTGATCTGTTGCCTACGCGTTATTATGCCACAAATTACTATTTTTGAAAGTCAAAATAACATAAACATGACAAGAGTAAATAATGAGGTTATTAAAGTAAAGGTTGTTTTAGAGTTTGCATTATGAAAATGACAATAGTGCTCGAAATTTTAATTCCGCAACTGTATACCTACTCAAAATAAATAGTAGTACAGTTGGAGACAAAATACTTTGGTCGTCAATGTCACTTGAATGACATTAAATTGTAAAGTATGCCTTAGGACTGTTAACCTTATTTTTAGCTACTGTCAATCATAGTTGACAGGTTGTATGTACATATTTTTGATAGGAAAATATAATAGCTGTCATTAATTTGAAATTGTCATTTATTTTAACGTTAAAGCTTGAATTACATTAAAATGTCAGAAAAGTGACGACCAAAGTATTTTGTCTCCAACTGTACAAAATTTTACATCTTGTCATTTCTATTTTAAAAATTTGGGGATTAATTATTTTGTTAGGTTTGTTATGGCATAAAATAAAAAATAAACTTGTTCATATTATTATTAATTAAAAACAAGATGGGTTTTATTTTTGTTGGTCAAACAAACGATAATCTACTGAAATAAATGCAAATTATATTATACGGAGTGGTTATAAATGATTTTCATCTAGCCAACTGTGAATTTTCCATGAAAAATAAAAAATGCCGCTTAACGAAAATAGGGGTACCTACTTGTTGTAACTCAAAATTAAAAAATCGCCGTTTACTAACGAAAATAGACTTCAATTATAAACTTGTTTTCTTCCAAAGTATACATTATTATCAATTATTATTGGAAATTAGTTGAAACAAAAATTTAATTAAGAACAATTTATTATTAATTAATAAGTGACACTAATGACAGAACTAGAGCTTTCAAAAAAGTAGAACGGCACAAATAAAGTTACATGCAAAAAAATTACAAAGCTGGCTAGATGAAAATCATTTATAACTAACCACTCTGTATATATATTTGATTGTTTTCTCTGTATGAAAGCGAATTGTATTTTTGAACGTACCCATCTACACTACCAACAACTGTCATTATAGGCGATTTCAAGCGAGATACCGGTAGTAAATAGTATTTACCAATAGAGTTTAAGCGCATTTGGTTATTGTTAGGTTAATGTGTCAGCTTTCATATGACGTCATTATTGAGCCCTTCCTACGTCATTTCCTATAACCGGTAAATACACTCCTCTGGAGTTGTTTTATTATATAGCTGTCTCCCTCGCACGTAAACATATGACAATCGTCCCGGCGGGTATTGAGGTTATAAATGATAACGTTATTTAAAAAATTAAAATAATAAAAGTATGGCCCAAGGAAGTAATAATGACAAATTGTATACCATTATTATTTGTAAAGTAATATTCTATAATATCACTAACATCAAAAAATATGTCTCAAAGACTAACAACAATGATTAGTAATTGTTCATCATCCATTTTTTGAAGTTAAATTCTTAGGTAGGTAAGAAATTACACTAACTTGACATGGTGACAGTTGAAAAAAATATTAAATAAAATAAATAAAAATATAAAAATATTTTTATACTATTATTATTTATCAGATGATAATGGTGGTAACCGGTTACTGTTTTCTGCTTTCAAGCGGTTCGTATGCTATATTGACGTTAATGACAGAATTCCCTAATAAAGGGCAAAACCAAAAATAACCAACGCCCTAACCAAAGTAAATACCGGTAATGCGCTTGAAATCGCCTTATTTTAATTTATTTAAGAAGTGGGGTTATGTTATGAGAATTTGCTTATTGGTTATGTTTTTGGTTGTAAAATGTTGAGAAACAATTACGACGAATGTTTAAAATCGTTTAATTGTAAAAGTGCCGTTTTACAAAAATACACTTGTGATTTGTGTAATTTTAAAACATCCCTTCTCGTCCTCTTGAACAAGCACGTTCGAGAAACTCACAGTAATAATAATAAATCGAAAAAGTCTTACTATCAGTGTCCTTACGTGATAAAAAATTACGTATGTAAGAGTTGTGCATTTCAAACTTATTCATCACTGCACAGTTTGCGTCACACCAAATCTGGACCTTGTATAAAACTGCCCCCAAGACAGCCACCAAAACAACCCACCGTGACCCCAAAACCACCTCAAATCAGATGGCTCAAATGCACCCAGTGTCGGTATCAAACGAAATTGAATGTTGTTTTACAACGTCATATTAAAACCAAACACAGTATTAAGCGAAATCTAGTGCAAAACCAAGTGGAAATGGTCCAATGGCATCAGTGCAAAAAGTGTCAATTTGTGACAGTAAATAAAACGTCCCTAAACGAACACGTGGCTTTGAAACATCAAGATGAAGAACGATGGTTTGGCTGCGAATATTGCCCATTTAAAACCACGATGGAAAATTCATTGAAAAGACACATCAAAACTAAGCACACACAGTGCCAAAATACCGAATGGTTTCAGTGCAATGAATGTACTTATAGAACGATGCAAAGGTCGCATTTAATTCAACACAGAAAAAGTGAACACACGCCGAAGGAAATAAGTCAACGGTGCCCTCATTGTGACTTTAAAACTGGACTAGAAAACGAGTTACAGCAACACCTCGCGAGCAAACACCCAACGAACAATGGAAATGTGCAACTTTTACCCTATTATTATCTACTTATTCAATAAATATTTTATTGAAAAACTCATTTTTTTTATTTTTTAAAACAATTCAACAAAAACAATAATGTAATATATTAGATCAAATTATTCAGTGTATCTTTTTTTTTACTTGGCAAGTCTTTTCAAATTAATCATTTGAATAATTTATTATAATCTCTTCTAAATTGTAATTATGAACGCACTTGAAATATCAATTAAGACACACAAGGTCCAAAAACCTATTAGTTTTGTTTCTCCTCAGGTCGGTGACTGGTGATTTACCCACTTTCCAGTGTTGCCAGCTTAAAACAATTAAATTCGTCAGATCTGCTGATACTTTTTTTAATACGTTTTTTACATAAATCTGCTCAAAAACGTGCTTAAATGAACCAAAAATGCGAAAATAGGTAATGAGATGACGTTTGAATTTGAAAGTCAAGGTTACCAAACTAAAATTGAGATAAAAATGACAATTATTTACAGTCAGCCGATATCTACGTTTTTACTTGAAAAACATGCTAAAATACTTGATAAAGGCAAAAATAATTTGAAATATAAAAAAAAGTTAAGTGTGCAATAATTACAATAATTAATTAGATTAATAAATAATTAGAAAATAACTTAATAATTAATTAAAAGTGAGATAAAAGATATGTTTTTACTTTTTTGTTTTTGCAAGGTTCCACAATGCTTAGAAGAATCAAATTTGTTTGTTGTAAAAATAATGCGACTTTTGTGGAGCAGTTTAATTTGACGTTTTTTTTTTGGTCTGTTTTAGCAAAATCTTGCAATTAAAATCATTTTCGACCACATTTTGTATTTTTCGTTCTACACTGGCAGACACGGAATTTTGGACGATTTGTCATTCGACTGACATAAAAACGTAAAACGGGCCTTAGGCTACTAATCTCACTTTCGGTTTTTGTAATTTTTATCAGAAAAAATGACAACAAATTAAAATAATTTATTGATCTAATATAAAAACACGTATTGCTGGCATTATTCTTTCGGAAAATCGATGCCAAAAAAAATAAAACTTTCAAATTTTAGTTTTAAACGTCAATCATAATGACAATAAAGCGTGGCTTACATTGACATTTTCTGAACTGTCATAAATTTGATGTCATAAAAATTCCGTGTCCGCCAGTGTAAAATTTCAATCAAAAAAAACTAAATCGAATGAAACAAACGAAATAATATCAATTTAGATTTATTTTTGTTGTGTTTAAGCATGTTTTGACAATGTCCTGTAAAATAAGAGTCTCTGGTTCAAAAACGAACTAAACCGAGCGAGACACGCTAAAATAATATCAATATTTCAATCTAATAATTTGGTAATTTTTCAGTCAGTTTTATAAAAAATTCGAATGTATTTTAACAACGTGCTGAAGCATTCTAAAAATACAAAAAATAACACTAGTTTTGGCATATTTTGATAAATTGTCGGTTTGTTTTTATCGAAATCTTGCGTTTCTGGCTAAAAATGTACAGAATAATGCACGTTTTGACCCATTTTAGCGATTTTTTTACCTTATTGAGTAAAATATCATTTAGAAAAACAAAACTATCTTTCGATTTTTAAACTTGTTTTTGAGAAAATCTAGCATTTGAGTTTCTGCATGGCTAAAAAAAGGTGCAAAATACTCAAAAAATTAGTGTCATCATTTTTAACTGAATTGACTAAATCAATAAAAAAATTAAATTAAAAAAGTTAATTTTACTAACATTTAGGTGAATACTCGATTTAAAAAAATAATTTCAACTATGTACAGTCCTGTTTCTAAGAAAGTCATCAAAAAATCAGAATTTTTACAAGTTTTCACCAAATCATGAAACTATGTAGTATAAAAATCACCAAATATGGTGACATTTCACCAGACAGCAGCAACAGTTTTGTAAATTACTTAGGTTGGCAAAACTAAATATAAATTGTCACTTGTCACTTGTCAAGTCTTCCACAGAAAAAAATAACATCCATTTTCATTTCATTGCACAATATTAGTTCATAGAAATATATAAATTTTCGAATTGTGATCTCTTTCATTTAGTTTGAAAAGAAAGTTAGTAGTAGAGCAACAACCATGACTTGTCCTTGGGCCAAAATGGAAAACGTTGAACCCGTCAACTTTGAAGAAATCATGTCTGAACAAGTCGCACGTGAATTACAAGCAAAAGAAGACAAGAAATACGCCGAAATGTTTGTACCCTCATTGAAACAAGACGAGAAAACAGCCCCTGCTGAAGTTCTGGATTCTGGGGTTGACGACACTTGTGAATCAGATGCTGTGATAGCACGAATGCTCCAGATGCAATTTGATAAGGAATACGACGAGAATTTGAGACGCACAGAGGAGAAGTATAACGGGGCGTCAAAAGTATCGATTTCCTTTGAGAATTACCGCCGCACACCTCATAATTTCGGTAGAACTAAATTTGTTATTGTGGTTTAATAATTTTGTGAATTGTAGATTTCGAGAGTGATTCTGAACAAGAAGAAATCATCGATATTCGCGACCGACGCGACTGGGACCGTTTCGACACCCTCCAAAGACAATTTGATTCGATCCCTCCTTGTGGCTACAAAATGCAAAACGGTCTCATGGTCACCAAACATGACGTTACAATGAGCGGCCGAAAAAACGCCTGTAAATTACTATCCTTTCCCCCTGATTTTCACACAGGCGATGGCGAAAATTTCGATCTGAAACTTTCCAACAAAGTCTTCAACAGTTTGAAACGCCACTCACAAAACGAAGAATCACGCCGACAAAAAGTCCGCGATAAGAAAGAAGACCGCGCGACTCAAGAATTCGGTCTAGATGAGTACACACGTCTCCTCATTTATAAAATAATCCAACAGGAAATTCTCGATAACGTCAACGGTGTTATTAGTATCGGTAAAGAAGCGGTGATACTTCACGCCGATGCTAATGTCAATTATACAGAGGGCCCCCTTCCGCCCGAATGTGCGATTAAAGTCTTCAAAACAACTCTATCTGAATTCAAACAACGAGATAAATACATAAAAGACGATCATAGGTTTAAAGGACGTATGGGGAATCAAACGGCGAGGAAGACTGTTCACTTATGGGCCGAGAAAGAAATGCACAATTTGAAAAGATTGAAAAATGCGAATATTCCATGCCCGGAAGTTGTAGTGTTGAAAAAACACGTCCTTGTTATGTCATTTATTGGAGAGAATAATAAACCTGCACCTAAATTAAAAGACGCAATAATGGATGAAACTGACTATATTTTAGCATATGAACAAGTTGTTGAGGCCATGAAGATGCTTTTTTCAACAGCTGAATTAATTCATGCCGATTTATCTGAATACAATATTTTGTGGCATCAAGGACAGTGCTACTTTATTGATGTTAGTCAAGCTGTGTTGCCATCGCACGAAAATGCATTTTATTTTCTCATGAGAGATTGCAACAATATCGCAAATGTAAGTAAATGCACAAAGCTACATTAAGTACATTTTTATTTCCAGTTCTTTTCAAAGAAAAAAGTGTCCAATGTTGCAACCCCTCAAGAACTTTTCAAATCTATAACAGGTTATAATTACGATGAGAAAAAAGAATTACTTCAATTACAAGAAACATTCAAAATGAAACCTCATCTTGTTGATAAACCGGGAATCGAATCGGTTTTTGATTTTGATAAAGGATGGGAAAAATCGAAAGAAAACTTGCAAACTCCTAAATTAGTTGACGCACCGTTAGCCTAGTTTACTCATTTTAAAAATTAATTCATTGCGAACTTGTTAATTTTGTGTTAAATACGTGAAAAATATTGGTTTATTAAATTTGTTATTCATCTCATCAAAACAGTAAATTTTGATTATTGCACATTGAAACACATTTCATAAGTTGGCGGCTTTTCCGGTATTTTCATCACGTCTAAATCATCACTTTGAAACCATTTAATCTCTTCTTCAGTCAAATCTTCCAATTTCGAATAAAAATCTGCATTTGGTTTAGTCTGAGACGCTCCACCAAACATATTTTGTTGCTGTTGCATTCCAAAATTGCCAAAAATATTTTGAGTATGTTGAAATGCTGGTTTATTGCTTGGTTGTGTAACCCCAAATTGGGGCTGTTGTGTCGTAAATTGATTGCCAGTTGAGTGGGTTTGTTGTGCCCCAAATGGATGACCACTCTGGAAATGGCTAGTTGTGGGGGTTGGTTGTGGTGCCCCAAATAAATGACTACTTTGGGCCTGTTGGAAGGTACTTTGCGCATTTTGCCTAAATGGACTAATTTGAGCTTGTGTCTGTGTCGCCCCAAAAATCGAATTTTGTTGGGCCCCACCAAAAATCGAATTCTGTTGTCCTCCAAAAATCGGGCTGGGAGTTTTGTTACCACCAAAAATACTCTGTGTTTGGGGCGGAGTTGTATTCCCAAAAGTTGTTTTTTGCTGTGACTGTGAGCCCCCAAAAATGGAATTTGACGTTTGATTGGTGTTTAGTGAATTTGAAGGTGGAGTATTGTAGATATTTTTTAATATGTTAACGACATCAGGTGACGGGTTTTGCAACGCTTTGATTTTCATTATTGCTTGTTGTAACATCATTTGTAAATTTTGCTTAAATTGTTCAACAGTGCCGTTTTTAGCCGATTCGTAAAATAAATACCTAATTTCTTCCATGCTGTAATCCTCAAAACCGGGAAAATGGGGCTTGTCACGAAATGGGGAGTACGACGATAACAGCCATTGACCACCCTTCTCTGCAGAAGTCATATCATTCACTACTGCTTTCACCAAAGTGTTTGTATCAACAGTGGACGCATTCTGGGCCGGCTTATTTGCATAATTTTGGACTAAAACCGACTGAGAGCCGGCGTAACTGTGATCTAAGGCAATTTTTTATAATTAGTCAAAAATTCACCCAAATAATGAAAAATGTACATACCTGTATTAATTTGATGTTCGAATTTACAATTTTCACCAAATCTACAAGTCCCTTGCAAAAAATACTTGCACATAACCATTGCAAAAAACGGAAAACAATAAATTTAAAAATTGAGGTTATGCAATCTTTAGTTCCAGCGCTGCCAACACAAAAATACAAATTTGGCACATAAATGGCAAAAAATGCCACACTATTAATTACTAATTAGAAAAATAATCAAAAAAACTATTGTGCCAAAGTATTAAAACTATTTATAATAATAAAGTCAAAAATCAACTTAAAAATGTATAATTATGCAACCAATAATATACGCGTACCAACCTAATCAAAACGTCAAAATTGTAACACGAAACTTTTTAACCTGTTGCATTCTCAAACCCGTTTCCGCAGATAATTTTATAAAAATCATCTCTTATCACTGATAAGCGTATCGAAACCAATCTGATTCAAAGGTGAGTGAAACACGTAAATTTATCAACAAATTCTCTCACTGGTAGCAAACCAACAAAAATAAACAAAGGTATGGATAAACTGCGTCGAGTGCTTGGAGGTAATGACTCTCCAGACGAAGAAAGCGGAATAATGTCACAATTAAACGAAACAACAACTCTGAGTTGGTCCACAAGACTGAAAGCATTTCTATTCTGTTTCATCCTTGGAATACTTTTATCCTTTCTTGGATCTTTTGCCTTATTTTTACGAGGGGGCTTGACAGTGTTTGCCATCTTTTATACATTGGGGAATATTTTATCAATGGCAAGTACGTGTTTTTTGATGGGACCTTGCAATCAAATCAAAAAAATGTTTGCCTCAAGTCGAGCTATTGCAACTGGTCTTGTAATAGCCTCTTTTATTTTAACACTAGTTTCTGCTCTTGCGGTAAGTGATTCATTATTAACACTTGTTTTTAACTTAATTCTTATTTTTTTAGTTACACAATGCGCTCTTGGCCCTTATTTTTATAATAATACAGTCATTAGCAATGACTTGGTACTCTTTGTCATACATACCTTATGCAAGGGATGCCGTAAAAAAGACTTTCATAGCATGTGTCGGTTGATTAGTCAATTAAAAATATAAATGTATAAATTTGGAAAGTATTTACATATTTTTTATAATGTAATTTGTGTCAGTTGGACCCATCCACTACTGTATTTATTTTGATACTTTATACAAATGTAAATTGTTGCTAATTTAAATGTAGGTAATGTTTAGAAAAAATTAAAGTATTTAACTGATTTAAAACCAATTTAACTGAAAATCACCTATTTATCTCAAACTCTGAGTCTAACAAATAATCATTGCAAAAATTTTTTGAAAAATCGTACATTCCAAAAAATACGTAACCTCCAAGTGTTATCCACAAAACTCGTGGTGCAAATCCCGCAAACAGCCTGCAAACAAAAAATCAAATGAGACACTCAATGTTAATTTTTTTTACCCTTTGATTCCTTGTTCACGATAAATCTGTTTCAATACAGTCCTGACACGCATTTTCTCAGCTGTTTTCTTATCAGCTAACATAATTCGAGTTTTAGCTACGTCTAAAGGGGTTGTTAGGGCAGCTGCAAACCCTCCAGCGATAGCCCCACAATTCGCAACCTCCCAAGACTCTAACGGAATATTATTTTTGAATTTTATCCTATAAGTCGATTTGAGATATTCAAGTACTGGAAATTGAATCAACGAAAATGGAACCTCTCGAATTATCGTTGAGCCAAAGCCTCTATACAACCCCTGAAACCACTCAGTGTTAAATAATCATAATGAAGCAAACTTTTTACTCACATTTATGATACCTTCAGATTTAATTGCGTGTTTTAGAATACGCAAAGATGTGTGTTTGTGATTTGTAGTAATTTGACGCCTTTGCTTGACGACTTCCATGGGGACTCGAATAAGACAAGCAATCTAAAATTACAATAAAAAACTATATTTCATTGCCATGATGAAATTAAAAAACGTACAACTTCGCTAATTGAAGCACCAGTCATGTAAACTAAAGGCAAGGAATGGGGCCCGACTTGAGGCTCAATATAATATTTAAAACTTTCATAAGTGAGGAAAAAAAATGCCGCTTGTGGGGCACTCCCGACAGCTTGTGGGCCGATACCTTTGTAAATCCCTGAAAATCCACCCGATTTTCTAAAACCTAAGCCTGACTGAAGACGTGTTTTTAATGTATCGAGAGGAAATAAAACGACATCAACCACTAACCCCCCAATTGCGCCACCCTATATACAAAATTTAAATTTACGTATTGTTGGTTGCATAACAACTCACAAACAATGATGATAAATACATGTTTTTCTCTTCTTGACTCAACATTGTCTAAATATCTACAAAAAAATTAAATTAAATAAATACAAAATTTTGTATAATTAAGTCAGAAAATCGGCTTTTATTCACCTTAAAGATTTTCATTCACAACAAAACTTAAACAACACCTAACAACCTTTGAACCAGTTATTTAATGTGATAACATACTAATTTTTTTATAATAACATCAATATTACAAATTACTAATATTTATAAAATTCAAACGGTTTAAATCATGACTGATTATGTAACATAACCTCACATCTGTCATAACCTAAAAATGTAAACACGATAAGAAGAAATTACAAAATGGGGCGAAATATATTGAAAAGTAGTGTCCAGAATGCATCATTCAGCATTATTTTTCAAGTAGTTTGAAATTTTAACTTATATATACCTAACCCCAAATTTTCAGATTCTCTTCCGATGTATTACTTTTGTCTTAAATGCATTCATAATTCGAACTGTGGGTCAGGAAGTACTTGGAATAATGAATGTCCGGTTGCTTCTCCTCGAATCAACCATTCTGTTCTTGTCACATGAGCCCCTAATGAAAGCGTGTCTTACAGACACCAAATCACACAATTGGGCGCAAGTTATAAACCAAATTTGGCTTTCGTAAGTGCCCCATAACATAAAACGTGAATTCATTACAACACTTACAGTGTTCCTATCACGGCATGCCTGAGTTTGGTTTTAGTATACATTTGGATCAATGTCTTAAGCCCCACTGATGATATTTATATTAGTCAATATAGACTCGGCTGTTACTCCATCGCTCTGTCATGTATAATAGAGCAGATGACCCAAAATGTGGTTCTTGTGGCCCAAAGTTACTGTTTTGTCAAATTAAAAGTTGTCCTTGAGACAATTTATATTGTTTCTAGAACGGTCATTTTTGTTTTCATAGTTGTGAAGCACCCAAATGATGCTATTAATGCATTTTCAATAGCACAGCTAGGGTCAGCTATAATTTTATGTCTGTCTTATTACGGGTTTTTCTTTTGGTACATAACGCGGTTGAATCTAGTCAAAGCAGGGATCGCTCTTAAAAGTAGTCTTTTCATGGACATGAACGACTTTCCATTTTCTTCCATAATGGAGTTTTTCCCCGGAATTATGAAAAACAGCGAGAGAATTCTAAACCAAGACTTGTGTCTTTTAACAATCAGTTTTGCCAAACAATCAATCATCAAACAGATTTTAACTGAAGGAGAACGTTACGTAATGACAGTCTCCCCAGTGTTGACTTTCAGTCAACAATCAATGTATGATATTGTAAATAATCTAGGAAGTTTAGCTGCGAGATTTATTTTTCGACCAATTGAAGAAAGTGCATACTTTTATTTTACGCAAATGATTAAACGAGACGAACCTGTAGACAAACAAGATCAAGTAATTGTAACTTAATTAATATTAAATGAAACTAATTAATCATTTTCAGAGAAATATTTCCGAATCAGCAAATGTCTTAAGCCACTTGTGCAATATTGTGACAAGTATTGGCCTCATTGTTGTTGTTTTTGGCCAAAGTTATAGTCACACTTTACTTTATCTCTATGGGGGCAAAAAATTAGTTGAAAACACTTTGCCAGTAACGTTGTTACGTTTTCACAGTTTTGCAATAGTTTTACTTGCAATAAATGGGGTCACAGAGGGCTACGTTTTTGCGACAATGAATAATAAACAATTAGACAAGTAAGTAGTAAAATACAGGAAACGAAATAACTCTAGTTTTTTTTTCAGGTACAATTACATTATGGTGCTATTTTCAATAAGTTTTTTGGTTATTTCTTACGTCCTTACTAACGTATTGGGGCCAGTTGGATTTATTTTAGCCAATTGCGTAAATATGTTAGCGCGTATTACTCACAGCCTCATTTATATCAATAAAAAATACAAGGGGACGATTTACAAACCTCTTGAAGGTTTAATCCCCAGCAAAAAATTCCTTTTAATTCTGGTTGTCTCAGGAGTCGCCACTAAAACATCAGAATCGTTAATTTCCTCCCTCATCATTCATATTTTAATAGGAGCTTTATTTTTTCTTTCAAGTGTTGCAGTCTGGGCCATTGACAACAAATCAGTCCTCAAGTTGGGTTATGACAAATATAAACGTCGAATGTCGATAAAAAATGACTAATTTAATAAAAAAATTAAACACCTATTCTATTTTATTCTTGTAAACAGCAGCAGTCACAGTCCCTGTAGTTGTAGGTCTAAATATGAGACAGTCCTTGTTATCACTTTCAAGTTTAATGATAGGGTCCCCATTATGGGGCTCGAGTTTAGCGGCTTGTTCAGCTATCGCAGCGATTAGGCCAGCGCTCTCAGTCGAGGCTTTGCCCTTCGCCCCCAAACACAAGCCTTGACGGTCAACGAAAACACAACCGAAAACTCCCGGCCGGTTCATCCTAACAAAACCAATCAGAAATATTGCAAGGGGGCTTTATTCTTACTTACACCTCATCCATCACTCTATCTAAATGCTTTTCCATTGTTGAAATTATTAATGAAAAAAAAATGACAGTTAGGAGGTACCAACCTTAAAAGTAAAAATTCCCCTACTTATTTAAAATCATTCGTTTGCTAAATCTACGATATTTTGAGCTTGTTTCACAGTCGGCATGTCGATCATTTGCCCTTTGTAGCTAAAAGCGCCCTTAAAATGATTAATTAACATAAAATTAATTTTTTGGGGGGCTACAAACTTTGCCCTCATTTTGGTGTTTATAAAAAGCATTTAGAATGTCTTGGGCCCATTTAATTTGATCAGGACTCGGCATAAAAGCCTTCTGTGTGATATCAATTTGGTCCGGGTGTATAACTTGCTTGCCAGAAAAGCCTAATTGTGCCCCTTGTTCTGCTTGTGTTTTTAAACCTTCAGGGTCTTTATATTTGATATAAACCATGTCAATGGCTTGTAAATTGAAGGCTTTAGCTACAGTTACAATTTTTTGACGCGCGTAAGTTACTTCAAATGATGATTCAGTTCTTTTAGCACCTACGAGAAATTATTCTTATGTGTGCAAAAATTAAAAAAATTACCAATGCTAGCACAAAAATCATCACTTCCGAATAAAAGTGCCACTGGGGTAAATTTACAAATCTCAGACATTTTTCTGGCAGCTTTACATATATCTACCACCTTGACTAAAGCAAAAGCTGACTCAATTGCCATTATTAAACCAATTTTGCTTTTAGTTTTTATGTATTCATTTAAATAAGCTGAAAACTAAGTTTTGTTAAATTAAAAAAGCATCAGAATTGTTACTTTACCATTTCTAAATGTTCTACACATTCAACTTTTGGTAAATAAATTGTATTTGGCAAATTCTTGCCAGTTACTAAGACACTTAAATCGTCTTTAATTAGTTCAGAAGCAAATGAATTAATGCGGACCGCAAAGTCATAAGGGCGTTTTCTTTGTGGTTTGCCTTTATCAAGAATTTCTCTAATATTAATACGTGCTTGCACCTACAACCCTCTTATCATTTTTATAATCCGAAAGTTAGCTTATTATTAAAATCACTTTTTTATTCACTGCAACACCATCTTCACAATCCAAAACAATACAATCGGCATCTAAAAGAAACGCTTTGTGGATTTTCTTAAGATCGTCACCAGGGACATACATTAGAGCCCTCCGAGGTGTATAATATCGAATTGGGGCCTAAAAAACACCTAATTTACCATTTGACGCTTTTATCAAAGTGTTCACCTTGATTGTGTCAACAATCACAGACTTTAAGAGAGGTTTTACGTAATTTCGCAACATTTTTACAATTAATTACAAAAAAATAAATAAATAACAGGTTATGTCAGTCGGTAAATAAACTGACTTCGTTACCGACATTACGACGCCATTTTGTCAATAATATGGTAGTTTAAAAAAAATCTGTTGCTCTTTTTATAAGCGATTGTAAGTGTTTATTGCCCTCATTTAGCAAATTTTTTCTTATAATTGTGTTAATTAAAAGTGATTATATGTGTAACATTGCTTTTGTATCAATAAAAAGCGAGTCGTTGGTCACGATGACTCATATTTACCTAGAGTTGACAAGGCCATAAATTTTAGCCAAATTTCGATTATAAACATATGACATCGACCCATATATGAAAATTAACGATTCTGAATAGTTGCAGGTGAAGACTGTTTGATGTGATAATCTTGTAATTAAAAATGAATCGAAAAGAAATCAGTAAAGGTGACCAACCTACTTTTGAGAACAAAGATGAAGAGGTGGAGTATTGGAAAAACCTTGCGACGCAATACTTGGATGAGTATGTTATAGCCCCCATGTGTCACTTATGTTAATAATTGAAATTCCAGCATTGATCGTTTACAAAAAGAATCAGATGAATTCGTCAGCGAATCTCAACAATTGGAACGTGAATATGAGGCTACAATTGAGCAAAACGAGAAGAAAATCAAAGAATTAACTCTGGCAAATAATAGAGCTTTCAATGAAATAGAATCACTTAGAGTAAGTAACAATTATGTGAGTCACTGTGATAATTTAAAAAAAAAAAAATAGGTAAAATTAGATCAGAGCAATAAACAAAATCAATCCTATCAAACCGAAATCGAGAACTTTACGAAAGGAAAAGGCGAAATGTCGCGCTACATACGTGAACTCGAACAGAAAAACGACGACCTTGAGCGGTCACGACGGATTATTGAGGAATCAATCGCAGGTATTGAGACGGCTTTCCACAATGCCATTGAACGAAACGCGATTCTTGAGTCGGAAATCGACGAAAAAGAGAGTCTCAAAGAAAAACTTCAGCGATTGGCTGATGAAACTAGAGGTATAAACTTACCCAACTCACTCAAAATTTTAACTCAATTGTTACAGATCTGAAACAGGAACTCCTAGTGAAGGAAAAATCCCTAGATAATGAACGACCCGTCAACGGATTTAGATCAATGCCTATTGTTGACTCAAACAGACTTAAAGAAATCGAGACTCAAACCACCCCAATTAAAAGTAAGACAAATCGATTCAGTAAGACATTGCGTTTGCTCATGCGCCGTATACGCAAAATGAAATAAACTCATACTAATTAAGTGCACTTAATCGATAAAATTAACATTAATTTTCATCCACGATAGTAACAAGACTCAACTGTGATTAGTTTGACTGATTGTATATGTTTGATGTTTAACTAGAAATAAATTATTTTTTTCAATGTAATAACGATTTTCATTTACATTTTTTGAGTCTTGTTGCATCCAATTGCTTGTTGCAGATCCCTGTAATTTTTTTATTTTTACTCGAAAGTGTGACGATAATAATTCGTTGTTTCATGGAAAATCTATTAGGAAATCAAGGATGTTTCGTGAATCATTGACTAAACAAAACAATCGATAAGTGACGGATACGGAAAAAATTATATCCCAATGTGGCCATGAAAAATGTGTTTTTTTTTAAATTATTATTACCCTTGTGTTATCTCACATTACTAACCACCCATTTGTCTCCTGTTATTTTTCCAGAAGATCAGATACCCTATCAAGCCTCCATAACACCAGCATCTCGCGTAATGGCTTTGAACATCGTTAGTGATCTAATCCGAAAAGTCGGGGTAAGTTTAATAAATAAATAAAAATGTGCACATTGGGGTTGTAGTCGCTTCGCGGTTTTTGGGTTAGATCATGTTTTTCGTTATTTTGTTGGTAGCCTGCATGTGTATGCACGTTTATGTGTTGCTTCCAGCTGTCTCGTTTCCTTTGTTCACAATGTGGTCGATATAAATGTACAGTTTGTCCGCCAACGGCCGTTAATCCCACCAATACCACACCGAGGTGCGAAGGGGGCTTCAATTTTTTAATTTTCGTGATTTTAATAAATTGTTTTTTATAGGGTCTAGAACGCAGATTGGAGAAGAGTCGATACGATTACAGGGATATCGGATCCAGTGATTTAAGGTGATTTAAAAATTAATAGAAAATAAATAATTCAAACTTGAATTTCAGGAGTCGACATTCGGCGAAAAACAGTCCGGCACCAAGCATTCAAGGTTTATCAAAATGAGAATTAATAGGTGTTTTAGGTACGTCTGGCTTAAAAACAAAAACTCCATGTCCAGTATTATTGATTTAATTTTCTGTTTTATGTACGTATAAAATATATATCGAGCGAAAAAGTGATCTTATCTCATTACTTGGTGATATTATTTAAGTCAGTAGTTCCTTTAACATTTTGTAAGTAATTTTTGGTGATAATTTTGCTAGTTAGGTCATGTTTTTCCGCTTAGTTACAATTCCTTTAATATGTATGTAAATATCATTGTGAATAGCGTGTGACTGGTTTTGTCTCCCTTTTAAAACTTGTTTACGTCAGTAAATGACGTAAATTAAGATTTTTTTACCCTCAATTTCCCGAAATATATTTTTTCACATAGTTAATAGATTAATTTAAAACGGGTTTTGCGTTTTGTTAATTTATTCAATTACTAATAATTAGGTACAAATTTTATATTTTTAATTGTATATTCCATTATTTAAGGTGCAAATATTTATTATTGTCTAACAGGATACGAATAAATCAGTTAAAGTAATACACCTGTGAAAATTTTACTCCATGATAGAGTCGTCCTTGATTTTTTCGTATTAGGAGCGAAAGTTTGCAAACTTGTCAAAGGTAATATTTTTAAATAAGCCTCAAGTGTCATAATTCCATTTTTAGATTTCCTCCATTTCAAACACACAGGACCTGGAAATAATCCATTTGAAATGGCGTTAAAAATATTTTGAGTTACACAACCTGACATTTTGGGTGATTTGAGAACCCACAGAATAAAAATATAAATTGGAAAACACTGCAGCAAATAACGAAATCGTAGCAAAATTTCCTCAACAATCATTATCGCCAACCTAAACTAAATTACAAAAATACAAAAAAATTTTTTTTTCCAATCTTACAATCACAAAAACGGTGTAATAAAGAGTTGTAGTGGGCAATAGAAACAATAATACTGTGAACCCCAAAGTTCCAATAAACAATTGATGTTGCGAATACTGACAAGAGTCAACTCTGGCCCGTAATGGGTTATATTTGCGGCCAATAAAAAGGCGCCACAGTGATAATAAGCCCTTCAGTTGCAAATAAATCAGTCTAAAATAGTTTTTGTTGAGAAATATTTAACAAAAATGGTAACTTACCTTGCGGCATAGACATAAATGCAATAAACATGAAAAGTTGCAATTGAAATAAGGTCCGAAAGCATTGCTATTTGATAAGAAAATCCAAACGTTCCCGGCAAAACTAGGAATTTGAAATATTGTTTGACAAAAGGTTGCATTGTAAACAAAAACACTCTCCATAACGAAATGTGATAAAAGAAAAATCTACCCAATGATTTATTGAAAGCATAATTTAATTTTAAACCGATAGGAGACCCCATGAGATAGATTAAAAGGTGACGAAAATTGTAAATTAAAGTCTCTCTAATATTATCAATAAAATTTACGATCAAATCTTCATTGTGTATAAAAATTCGTAATAGAATAATCCCCAATGCTAAATCAACCAATTTTGCTAAAATAAAATTCCCAATTCTGGGTGACATTCGTTTTTCTTTATTAACTTCGGCAAAAAACCACTTAAATTCGTTTAAGTTATCACAAAAATGTGAAATCGTAGCTGAATAAGCCCACACTAATTTGAATTTATTCAAAAATTGCAACAACCAATCTAAAATGGCAATAATGCAAGTAAGGGTGTTCTTCCGGCCGTTTTCTTCATTTCTCCACCTTGGTTTTCTCAAATGACTCCGCAAAAACTTAAAATGTACCCCATACTCGTCCTCATAGTCCAAATCATCACAGTCCCGAAAAGCCCCAAAATCGTATACGATTCTCACCAAACTCAAATTAGCTGAATTCCCAAAATTTAATAAACTAATTTTTGAAGTCGTGTCAATATGAACGGCTTTAAAGTCAATATTTTTCACTTTGGTCACATCATTGCCCAAAAAACCGATAACATTTTCGGTGTGTTTAACCGTGACATCGCTTGTGATGTAATAAGCTTCACATTCATCGTATTCTTGCCGGAAACCCTCCAAATAGCCACTTTTATTCAAAATGAGCGAATTTGGCACAAAAATGAGGATATTTTTCACCATCCTTAACCTCAAACTGTCAAAGACATATGTTTTTGTTTGAGCACGTGACACGATCACGTCTTTTTAATTGGTCCAAATTGACAGCACATGTTTTCAATGACGTTTAATTTCTTTGAAGAATGTAAAGGATGAATTACGTTTTTATCGCAGATGATTCATTTCGTAACAAAGAATTGTTCTACATTTTATTATAAACCCTCCAAATAGCCACTTTTATTCAGAATGAGCGAATTTGGCACAAAAATGAAGATATTTTTCACCATCCTTAACCTCAAACTGTCAAAGACATATGTTTTTGTTTGTGCACGTGACACAATCACGTCATTTAATTGGGCGAAATTGACACCATTTTGACAGCACATGTTTTCAATGACGTTTAATTTCTTGGAAGAATGTAAAGGATGAATTACGTTTTTATCGCAGATGATTCATTTCGTAACACAGCATTGTTCTACATTTTATTATAATGCGTATTAGATTTTCTAAACTGAGAGAATGAGCGAAAGTGGGGCTAATGGGGATGGTGAAATTCGACCCACTAGATTTAGGGTAAGTTTCCTGATAAGGATGATAAAAATCATTATGGGGGTTTACAGAATTTGCCATCGGTTAATTCGTTAAGTCAAGAGGAGTTGATTGTGACTGAGCCTGAAAATACCGAATTGTTATCGTCAATCAGAAGGAGAGTGCAAAGTAGTTCTGAAAAAATTGAAACGGGGTCTTTGAATGTGTTATCGGCCAAATATGAAGTAAATTACGACATTTTATCGCAATATATTACTACTGGACTTTTTTTAGAGCCTTGATTATGACACGTGTGAGAATTATTTATTTTTAGATGAGGAGAGAAAAAAGGGTTATAGATTTATTGTGAAAAAAAATTTAGCAAGATGGTTTATTTTCCTCCTGATTGGAATGGTAACCGCGTTAATTGCTTGTGCCATAGATATATCAATAGAGGAATTGTCACAACTGAAATATGCCTCATTAAGCAAATGTAATAATTACTATTTTTCAACTATTTCATTTAATTGTAACAAATTCTAGCTGTAGACGAATATGTTACACAGGGAAAACTCCACATCCCTTACTTCTTCTGGGTCCTATATAACGTAATCCCGGTCCTAATAGGCTCAATCCTAGTTGCCTATGTTGAACCTATTGCTTCTGGTAGTGGAATTCCTCAAGTCAAATGTTACCTAAATGGGGTTAAAATACCCCGAGTTGTTCGTATAAAAACACTATTTGTAAAAAGTGTAGGAGTTGTATGTTCAGTCGTTGGTGGTTTGGCTGGAGGCAAAGTAATTTATTTTGTGCAATTTAAAATTAAAAAATTATACAAAATTTTTAAGGAAGGACCAATGATTCACTCAGGAGCTGTTGTCGCAGCTGGACTTTCGCAAGGAAAAAGTACAACATTTAACCGAGATTTCAAAATATTTAAATATTTTCGAGAAGATCACGAAAAACGAGATTTTGTTTCTGGAGGTGCCGCTGCAGGAGTTTCGGCGGCTTTTGGTGCCCCTGTTGGTAAATAAATTTCCTATTCCTTATTTAAATCCTCTAATGTTCATCAAATTTTAGGCGGAGTGCTTTTTAGTTTAGAAGAAGGAACAAGTTTCTGGAATCAGAGCCTAACATGGCGCACTTTTTTCGCTTCTGTGATAAGCACCTTTACTTTAAACGTAGTTTTATCAACTTATCATGGAGTTCCTGGCGATTTGAGCTATCCTGGACTTTTAAATTTAGGAAAATTTGAAAATTTCAGTTACGAAGTGTATGAATTACCAATTTTTGTCTTAATGGGGGCTTTAGGCGGCTTATTAGGGGCATTATGGAATCATTTCAATTATAAATTATCAGTTTTTCGGATGAGGTAATCATTACATTAAATTACTCACAAGTAATTAAAACCTTTAGGTATATAAGAAAAAGATGGTTAAAAGTAATTGAAGCTTGTATAGTCGCTGCTGTTAGTGCAACTTTAGGTTTTCTCATGATGTTTTTACTCAATGATTGCAAGCCTTTGGGGCAAGACCCCACGAAATACCCAACTCAGTTATACTGCCAAGATGGCCAATACAACGTTCTAGCAAGCATTTGGTTTCAAACTCCCGAAGCTTCAGTTCGTTCTCTTTTCCATGATCCCCCAAATACCCACAACGCCACCTCACTTGCCTTTTTCGTCGTCGTTTATTTCTTCCTGTCATCATGGACCTTTGGTCTTGCCTCTTCCAATGGCCTTTTCATCCCCACTCTTCTCACGGGGGCTGCCTGGGGCCGACTTATCTCAGTTGGACTTTTTCGGATCATTCCCGATGCTGTGCTCATTCATCCGGGGAAATACGCCATGATTGGAGCAGCTGCCCAATTAGGTGGCGTTGTAAGAATGACAATTAGTTTGACAGTTATTATAATGGAAACAACTGGAAATATTTCGTTTGCTTTGCCACTCATTCTGACATTAATTGCGGCAAAATGGACAGGAGATTTCTTCAATGAGGGTATTTATGACACACTTATACAACTCAGTGGTGTTCCGTTACTCCCATGGGAACCACCACCATTAGTTCACAATATCTACGCCAGTGAGGTGATGTCGCATCCGGTGGTCACATTGAAATGTGTTGAGAATGTGGGACATATAGTTGAATTGTTGAAGTTAACAAGTTATAACGGATTTCCGGTGGTTGATCCGCCATTAACTGACCAATCAGAAGTTACGACCTATGGAAGAATCAGAGGGTTGATTTTAAGGTCACAATTAATTGTTATTTTGAAAAAGAAGATTTTTAATGAAAATTCCGATTTTTGGGGGGACATTAACGTGGGTATTTTTAGAGATGAGTATCCTAGATATCCGACGATTGAGGTAACATAGTGTGTGTGTGTTTCCCTTTTTTTTTGATTGATTTTTTCGTTTTTAGCAAGTGTGTGTTTCCGAAGTCGAAAAAACTTATTCTATTGATCTGAGACCGTTTATGAATCCATCACCATATACGGTGCTCCATGTAAATTTAAAAAAGTTAACAAGTGATTAGCATTTATCTGGTTTTCTTTTCAGTCATCATCACTTCCTCGAATGTTTAGATTATTCCGAGCTCTAGGTTTACGACATTTGCCTATTGTTAATGATACAAATGAGGTTATTGGAATGGTGACAAGAAAAGACTTGGCTCGGTATAGAGTTTGGAGACATCGTGGCCGCATGGGGGTAGAAGAATTACTAATTTCCAAAGAAATATGACCACTTTACAGTATTATATAGCACTACGAATAATTATGTTGTCAATTGTGACTAAAGATGATTTTATTTATTGTTAATTAAAAACTTTACTCATTTTGTTTTGTTCCTTTAACCCAACTGGGGATCAAAATTCAATCTATATACAGGTGCGCCAGAACTCGCGCCCCAGAGAAAATTTTCAAGTAAGGTAATATACCAGGAACATGAAAAAAATTCTATCTGTCAAAAAAATTTGACATTTGACATTTTTTTAATCTATTTAAGGATACTGATGATCTTGTATATGTTTTTTTTACAATTATTTAGTAAAGGGTCAAAAATTTTGCCAAAAAAAGCCACAAATAACATTGAACACAGTTACAATTCAAAACTTGGAAAATTATTTTTCCAACAGAAATAAGATACCAGGAACATGGAAAAAATGTCTAAGAAATTCTATCTGTCAAAAAATTTTGACATTTGGCATTTTTTTATGTCTATTTAATGATACTGATTATCTTGTATATGTTTTTTTTTTTTATAATTATTTAGTAAAGGTACAAAAATTTTGCCAATAAAAGCCACAAATAACATTAAACAGAGATAAAATTTAGGCTACAGCTTCATTGTTTCCTCTTCTAATAGTTTGTAGCAAAAAAACTTGGAAAAGTATTTTTCCAACAGAAATAAATAGAGTCAAAGTGCAAACTTTAAACCCTCATAACTTCGAAATTTTCATAGATAAAATTTTTTAAACATTTTTTCCATGTTCCTAGTATGTTACCTTACATGGCATTTTTCTCTGAGGTGCGAGTTCTGGCGCATCCTGTATACAAAAGAGTTTCGTGACTGACTGACAGACAACGCACAGCCTAAACCACTGAAGCTAGAAATATGAAATTTGGCAGATATGTTCCTTAGAAGGAGTAGAGGTCCACTAAGAAAGGATTTAAAAAAATCAACCTCTAAGGGGGTGAGATGGGGTGTAAACTTTTAAACAAAGATAGAAACAAAAAAATTGGAAGATATGTTACTTAGCGGTTGTAAAGGTGTACTAAGACGAGATTTTTTTTTAATAATTACTAAACTTATTTATTCCATAAAAAATGGGGTGAAACGGGGTGTATACGTTTAAACAAAAATAGAAACATGAAATTTTTCAGATTTGTTCCTTAAAGGGGCGCCAAGAAAGGATTTTTCGAAAATTAATCTCTACGGGGGTGAAATGGAGTGTAAATATTTAAACTAAAATAGAAACAAAAAAATTTGAGGATATGTTCCTTAGCAATTTAGACGAGGTTTTTAAAAAATAATAAGTAAAAAGTTATTCACCCCCTTAGAAAAGGGAGTGAAACTGGATGTACACAATTAAACGAAAATAAAAACATGAAATTTGAAAGATATGTTCCTTAGCGCATGTAGATGTCCGATAAGAAAGAATTTTTCGAAAACTAATTTCTTATGGGGTGAAATTGGGTGTAAACATTTACAACTTGCAAACTTGACGAAGTTTCAAGATACATTCCTTTAGGAGCCGGTTTACAAAAATCGAAATGAAAATTTAATTCAAAATTAAACTAATTCGAATTAAGTTGCCATTTATTTTGCATTGACAAACGACAAGTTAATCGGGAATTAAAATTTAATTGCGATTAACACGTTCTGTTAACCGGCCCTAAGTTTTCTATTAGTTTTGTAACTATCATTGAAAACGATTCAAAATTATTTATTTAATTTAT